TCCGTCGCCATCCTATGGTCCACAATTTAAACAAATTTAGAATTTTAAACGCCAAAGCACGGCGTACTTTTAAACAAAATAAACGCCAATCTTGGCGAAACTATGTCTCAAACATCAATTCGCGCACGCCAATATCAAAGGTGTGGAACATGATTCAGAAAATAAAAGGTAAGGGCTCTAAATCTAGCATTAAGCATCTAAAAATGGAGATGAATTATTAACTGATAAATCTGACATAGCAAATAAACTTGGAGAAACTTTGGCGAAACATTCTTCCTCATCAAACTATGTACCTGAAATCCAGAAATATCAAAGACAGCAGGAAAAGAAATCTATTAATTTCAATTCAGACAATGGGGAAGACTACAATGAAACCTTTTCGATACATGAGCTTCATACTGCTCTTGACCAAGCTCACGATACTGCTTCAGGAGCTGATGGTATACATTATCAACTCCTGAAACACTTACCTGAATCATGTTTAGAGACGCTCTTATCTATTTTTGATGTCATTTGGACATCTGGACAATTTCCTTCGTCGTGGCGCGATGCTATAATTGTGCCCATCCCTAAACCTGGACGTGATCATACTGATCCTTCCAATTATAGGCCAATTTCATTAACTAGCTGTGTTTGCAAGACCATGGAACGCATGATAAATAATCGACTTGTTTGGAAATTGGAAACCAATAACCTTATAACTAATATACAATGTGGTTTCCGTAAAAACCGTAGTACCATCGATCATTTGGTGCGCTTAGAATCTTTTGTGAAAAATCCCAGAATTAATAAACAGCATGCAGTGTCGATCTTTTTCGATTTAGAAAAAGCATACGACACAACATGGAAACATGGGATTTTAAAGGATTTACATGACTTTGGATTACGAGGCCGTTTGCCTCAATTTATATCCAACTTTTTAAATGACAGGCAATTTCAAGTCCGAGTGGGTTCAACCCTGTCTAACCATTACAATCAGGATCAGGGTGTCCCGCAAGGCAGTATTTTGTCTGTCACATTGTTTAGTATCAAGATAAACAGTTTATCAAAGGTTTTAAACGATTCTATTGATGGATCACTTTTTGTGGATGATTTTAATATTTCTTGTCGCGGTAAGAATATGCATACTATTGAACGGCAAATGCAGCTGTGTTTAAATAAAATACATAAATGGTGTCTTGAAAACGGCTTTAAATTTTCTAAATCCAAAACTAATTGTATACATTTTTGTAGAAAATATAAACCGCATAAAGACCCGGAACTGTTCCTCAATGGCACTCCCATCAAAATTGTGAAGGAGGCCAGGTTCTTGGGATTAATTTTTGACTCGCATCTAACTTTTCTTCCCCATATCAAGTCCCTAAAAACTAAATGCTTGAAGGCGCTTGACTTGTTGAAAGTCGTTTCCAATTCTAAGTGGGGAGGGGATCAAGCTACCCTCCTACAATTATATCGATCATTGGTACGTTCCAAACTTGATTATGGCTCCATCGTTTATGGTGGAGCCTGCAACAGTAATCTCAAACTTTTAGATTCTGTCCACCACCAAGGTCTAAGACTATGTCTTGGTTCCTTTAGAACTTCACCTGTTGACAGCCTTTACGTCGAGGCTAATGAGCCATCTCTTACACAACGCTGTATAAAATTAACTTTACAGTATATTACAAAACTTTATTCCAATGAGTTAAACCCTGCATATAACTGTGTCTTTAATCCACTATATGAAGATCTGTGTAACAAGAAGCCTTCTCTTGTTCCGCCTCTTGGTATAAGAGTGAAACCTTTCCTTTCTGCTGCTGGCATTGAGCTAGAACTTATAGCTCCTTCCCGTTTTCTTTCTTCTCTCCGCCTTGGCAAATTGGTTGAGCCACAAGTTGACCTAACATTAACTACATTTAAAAATCAGAAACAAATGAATTGCAGTATAAACAAGAATTTAGTCAATTAAGAAATAAATATAATACATACAAATCCTTATTTACAGATGGGTCCAAGGATGGTGGCGCAGTGGCATGTGCCACTGTCATTGGATCCCGAACAATATCTTCTAGAATACCGGATAACAGCTCTATATTTACAGCAGAAGCAAACGCCATCTTAACAGCTCTTAAATATATTAATAAACACCGTAAATATAAACAATATATCATCTTTTCAGCTTCTCTTTCGTGTCTTCAGGCTATTAAAAATCTTTCTTGCAAACATCCACTTTTATTAGAAATTATTGAATTGTACAATGAACTTGCTACTGGCCAATGCGACATCGTCTTTTGTTGGTTGTCCAGCCACGTTGGCATTTCTGGGAACACGATGGCTGATATTGCTGCTAAGGCAGCACTCAACAAATCTGTGACACCACTTCTTATCCCATACTCTGATTATAAAGCCAGCATTAGAGCATACATCCGCGATCTGATGCAAAAGAAGTGGGACACCCAAGTAGGTATTAATAAATTACATGCAATAAAACCCTACATTGGTTACACCTACTTGGGTTGTCAGTCCAGATTTGAAGAGGTCATTATGCGACGATGTCGCATTGGCCACACTAGATATACTCACCAATATTTACTGAAAGGCGAAGATCCTCCGTTTTGCATCCCTTGTGATGAAAGAATCACAGTCAAGCATGTCCTGCTTGACTGTGTTGAATATTCCATCACAAGGGATAAATATTTTAATGTCAAGACATTGAAGGATCTTTTTTATAATGTTAATTATCATTTAATAGTTGAATTTTTAAAAGAATTAGATTTGTGGACTGATCTGTAAATAGTTAAATATTATATTGTTGGTAGTTTGTATTAGTAACTGAGATTGTTAGTGGCTGCTACCCTCAAAGGGGTTGACGTAGCGTAAAATTATTGTCCTCCTGAGAGGGTACGTAAGTCCCAAAACTTTCAAAGTCAATTTAAACTTGCCAGGATTTTTAAACGTAGTATACTTGTTCTTTTAATTTTGGCTAACATTTCTTACAATCGCCAGCAGCTGAAGGGATGGTGTACGTATTCCACACACTTTGGAGCGGAGCTGTCTCAGGTAACACAGCAAAGAATGAGAACATCTTGAGACTGGAAAATACAGGTATGGGGCAGTATACGCTTAGTTTCGTTAATGCTTCTTGGACAAATGTCATCAGTTTATGTCAAATTAATTTTAATAACATCCTCGGAAGAAGAGTTGCAAAATTATATTACACATGATACTTTAATGTCACCGTTAAAATAGCTTATTTGATTATTAATGTTTTAATCTCAATTGAAGTATTGAGTGACTACTTTAACACCGCGTTTGGAAATATAACACTCTCACGGCGAGGGACACCAGAAATGGGCTTCACACATTGTAGCCATGTAGGGTGTGAGTGAGTTGGGTTTTACGCCGCTTTTAGCAAAATTCCAGCAATATCACGGCGGGGACACCAGAAATGGGCTTCACACATTGTAGCCATGTAGGGTGTGAGTGAGTTGGGTTTTACGCCGCTTTTAGCAAAATTCCAGCAATATCACGGCGGGGGACACCAGAAATGGGCTTCGCACATTGTTGCGATGTAGGGTGTGAGTGAGTTGGGTTTTACGCCGCTTTTAGCAAAATTCCAGCAATATCACGGCGGGGACACCAGAAATGGGCTTCACACATTGTAGCCATGTAGGGTGTGAGTGAGTTGGGTTTTACGCCGCTTTTAGCAAAATTCCAGCAATATCACGGCGGGGGACACCAGAAATGGGCTTCGCACATTGTTGCCATGTAGGGTGTGAGTGAGTTGGGTTTTACGCCGCTTTTAGCAAAATTCCAGCAATATCACGGCGAGGGACACCAGAACCGGCTTCACACATTGTAGCCATGTAGGGTGTGAGTGAGTTGGGTTTTACGCCGCTTTTAGCAAAATTCCAGCAATATCACGGCTGGGGACACCAGAAATTGGCTTCACACATTGTAGCCATATAGGGTGTGAGTGAGTTGGGTTTTACGCCGCTTTTAGCAAAATTCCAGCAATATCACGGCGGGTGACACCAGAAATGGGCTTCACAAATTGTAGCCATGAAGGGTGTGAGTGAGTTGTGTTTTACGCCGCTTTTAGCAAAATTCCAGCAATATCACGGTGGGGACACCAGAAATGGGCTTCACAAATTGTAGCCATGAAGGGTGTGAGTGAGTTGTGTTTTACGCCGCTTTGAGCAAAATTCCAGCAATATCACGGTGGGGGACACCAGAAATGGGCTTCACACATTTTAACCATGTGGATAATTGAACCCGGGTCTTCGGCTTGACGAGCGAACGCTTTAACCACTAGGTTACCCCATCGACCAGCCATGTAGGGAAATGAACCTGGGTCTTAACCACTAGGTTACCCTCCACACCACCCCCGAAGTATTGAAGTCATTACACACTAGCTGAAATACTGAGGGTTGAACTGAACTGAAATGTTTTGGATAAAATCCACGGGCATTTCCGATTAGGATTCAAATAAAAATCACAAATGTTTTCAGACAACAAATATTAGTTCATTAGGCATTGGTACAAAATAACGAAGACTCAGATGTATCTATCACCCTAAATGAAAATCTGGGAAAGCCATATTACACACCACCATGCTACCATATGTCCTGGTTGATACTGACTGTCATACACTGTCTCGTTTATGGCGTTAAACAGCTAACACACCAAGAAACTTACAGATAACAAATTGCGTTACAGCCATTGTGTGCTAGAAACAACTTTATGTCCGAAGAAGGGCTGCGGTGGCGCTTCACCGACCCTGGGAAGGACTCATAATGGCGGCCTTTGCTACAGGGCAACACGCCTTTCACAATACAAAGTCAAAGAACGGGCGATAAGAATTTTTTCGTAGCATTTTCAACGAGTCCATAGCAAAGTATACGTTACCAGAATAACGCTCATCGTTACGTTTAGAGAAGAATACATTATTTGAGCAGTTTCGATAGGCCAAAATTGTTACTCTTTATTTTACTAACAATGACTATTTACTACCCACAATTTTCTTGACAGGTATGATGTCAGTCACGATCTACAGTTTGGTTTGGATTGTTATTCCGAATCTGATGACATCACTGGGTCACCCACAACATTCCGACATTGAGAAATGCAACATTCACCACGAAGCCAATGAAACAACAGTGGACTGTTCACGTCGTGGTTTCAACCGAGTCCCACAAGGAGTTCCACGAAACACAACAGTCCTTAACCTGGGTACCAACAACTTACCAAGCCTCAAGAAAGGATCACTCCCCAACCTTCCTTTATTACATACACTGCTCATGAATGATAACAACATAGAGTTTCTGGAGGAAGGTGCTCTGCAAAGCCTACCTGCCCTTCAAGAACTAAACTTGGATGGGAATAAATTGAACTTTTCTTATTCCTCTCTTCCTCTTGGGACATTCCAAAACCTGACATCTCTGACAACACTCCATGTGAGCAGAATGAAGATGCGGTTTACGTCATTGACATATCCCGATGCTACATTTGCTGATCTTCACCACCTCGAGTCACTGATCATTGACGGGGCTGGAGAACCTGTGTTTGGACCTGGCTTTGCACAGATGAAGAGCCTGAAGAGTCTGAGTTTTGGATCACAATGCCTTATCAGACGTTTGGGGAAAAACTCATTTGTCAACTTCAGGGAAGCACCTGTCAGGGATCTGTCATTGTCAGCATGTAGCATTCTTAATTTTCTGGATGACAATGTATTCTTTCCTCTTCATAAACTGAAGTTTCTGCTTGCAAGAGAAATTGCTCCCTTTGGCCTGCATGAGTCTTTCCTAAGCTTAAAAGGACTCAGTGGAAGGAACATGACCGAAATAGACTTTACACATGTGAGTACATATCCTGTCACTGTTCAAGGTGTTATGAAGAACCAGACTCTCGTGCTCATGTCTGAGATGACACGTTACCTTAAGACTATGTGTGTTGAGCGACTGATTCTAAGGAATAATGACATCGTGGTCATTGAAAGTAGTGCGTTATTGAAGGAACCGTTTCAAAGTTGTATAAAATATCTTGATCTCAGCCACAATTCTATAAAAGGTGACCCTAGCTTGTTGTTTCATTTCCCTGCATTTGTTAACCTAGCTGTACTGGATGTGTCAAATCAGGTATATCAAGCGTATCATGGTAATGGACAAGATAGACAGTCCAAAGACTTAGCAAAACTAACCTCTATTGGAAACATGACACTTTTTCTTCCTCCATCTTTGGAGAAACTTTTATTAAGTGGTTCAGGAGCACATGGAAGATCTTTAGAGGGAACTAACATGTGCTTTCTGGGAGGTAATAACTTGTGGTATTTGGATCTTTCCTATTCTGCCATAATAACGGATAACGCACGTGTCTTTGGCTTGGAGCATGTAAGATATCTTGATTTATCAGGCAATTTCTTTCAGAAAATACCGTTGACATTTTTTCAGTCATTCCCAAACGTCATGACACTGTATCTGGAAAATATTCATTTTGATACTGATTTGATGTCTAACATGAGTTCACAAATATTGTTCAGTCCTCTCAAAAACGTCCATTCTTTAGACTTATCCCATAACGCTTTTTATAGAATGTATGCTCAGATTTTCGGGAATCTTAAGACTTTAAAACATTTGAACCTAAGCCACAACATGTTTGAAGATGTTCCTATTGAATTGTCTGGAATGTTGAGCATCTCTCAAATTGATCTTTCATTTAATTCTATCAGTTTTCTGAGGGTCAACACCAGAACAATGTTAGATCAAAGGGTTCTTGTTTCCCAACCAATTTCACTTGACCTCCATGGGAATATCCTGTCTTGTGGATGTGGAACCCTAGACTTTCTGACATGGATAATTGACACAGATGTCCAGTTTCGACACTTCGATTCATACAGCTGTATCAACACTGAGGGTCAGCTCATTAAACTTTCAAATATTACCAGTTCCTTTAGGAGACACTGGAGATCTTGCTATGGTAGATTTTGGCTTGCCTTTTCAGTTTGTCTGATGTGTGTACTGATTTCTGGTCTTGTCGTTTGTCATTTGGTGTTGAAAAACACCATTTCTTTAAAATACTGGATATTGAGGTTGATAGGGTTTGATTATTTTGTACCACGAAGACAAGATTTTAAGTATGACATATTTATTTACTATTCTCAACATGATGATTATCAATGGGTGTGTACTACGTTTCTACAGAAAGTAGAGGTAGAGAAAGGTCTGCGACTTTGCATACCAGACAGGGATTTCGATGTGGGCGTTTGTGCAGCTGAAGAAATTATTAATTGTATTCACAACAGCTGGAAGACTGTCCTGTATATAACAGAGACCTTTCTTCAGGACGAAATGTGTTCCTTTACACTCTCATCTGGGGTCTATGCATGTAACAATAACATGCCCAAGAGACTAATACTTCTATATTCCGACACCATCTTGCATCACCCTCTACCACCATTACTCACTCAGCTTCTGGATGGAGATAATGTGTTTGTTCTGGGAGAGCTGGTAGAAAATAGAGCCTGGCAACGATTCTTTGAACATGTGTTGAAGTGGATCTGAACATGTGTCTTAGATATTTCTTAATTTTTGGGTGTCATGTCTGATGTGAATATTTCAAAAATAACTCTTGGTGAACTAGGGATTATTACCTACAATGAATTCATCATGTCACAATGAAACAATCGAATGTCAAGGTGAAGGTCATTTGCTCTTCATGTCTTGTATTGCCCCCATGAGTGCCCAGAACTACCTGGTACCATCAATCCATGGAACCAATCAGGTTACGAATAGTGGTCTCATATCTGGGGAATGTTCACCCACTCTTATTGCAGTGCTTGTGCCAACTGTTGGAGGTTCTGTGGGTGTCATGGGGCTGTACCTTTGCAACCTGCATGCACCCTAGCTGGATTTACATCGTAAAGCAAACTAGTCATACATTAAAACAACAAATATGCTACTTAACTATTAAAATTCAGAGAATGAAGAATACTTTGAATGAAATGGGACTTATGTACCCTCTCAGGCACTTCGAACTAGTCGTCTCGGGGGAATACTTTCGGTTCCTCACTGTTTGGGCGGACATCCTGTGTAATCCTGATATTGGTGTAACCTTAAAGGTGGTCATGGTGTGTCTAACACGTAAGTGATCAACCTGTCCAGCTCTGCAGTGGTGACACGTCGTCGCCCGGATCTGATCCCTGCTTCTGAAAACCGTTCCATAGTCTTGCAATGGAGTATGGCGACACGTGGAAAAACCTGGCTATGACTGAAGCAGAGTTACCGGTCTGCCGATGGCGTGGAATTTGTGTCAGCCGTGGCATGGTTTTCATTTTTCTTTTGCTGTAGATTTATGATGAGTGACAAAGGGAGTGAGTGTGAGTTTAGTTTCACGACGTTTTAGCTATATCACTGCAGTGGACAACAGAAATGGGCTTCACGATGACAAGCAAAGAAAACCCATGTTGGACGTTCATTACATCTAGGTGTGTTTGGCCGACACGCTGCCATTTTGTTGTGGGCTTTTTTCAGTAATTTTGGTTACACTTTATTCTACCCGCACAAATTATCCCCAATGCATGTAAGCGTGAGAAATTCCTATTTGCTGTTCTTTTTGTATAAATAACAGCAAACCTCTGTGGGATGTTTCCTATTTTGGGGTTGTTGTTTTGTATATTTGTCTTACGGTCTAGTCTTACTTTGTTACTAGAAATCTAATGAGTGTGGGCGCCAGTCACTTTGATTGTATACAAATGGGACATCTTAAGGATGTGACACCCAATTTCATCATTAATACACTTCACTTAATAAAAAAAAACAGCCATGCCTAATTGGTTGTCTTTCAAGACATGTTAAAAACGTTACCGAATACATGTAAGTTTGAATTCTTGGACAGCTTAGTTAAGATTAAATATGACGAGTATGAACTTCCCAGATGTATCCTAGGTAATGAAGTGTTCACTGTAAGGCAAATGTTGATCCTAGCCATTGCAAGGGATTCTTCTTTCAAAGCAGTGTATGTTTAACCATGTTACCAGACAATTGAATTTGAAATTGGTGTATATCGTAAATTCTGAATACATGTCTTGAAATAATCTCTATATTTATTATAGCTCATGTTGTTGTGTGTATATGTTTTACTTCAGTATCTACATCTACTGTTTTATACTGCATGTGTGATATTTGAGGTGCATGTATTTCATGAATACAAATTGCGCTCAAGTTGCTGTACAACTTGGACATTGCCGATGTGATTCCGAAATCATCAGAAGGCATCAGGGCCAGAATTTCTACTTTTGCTCCAAATTCAGTTTATTTTTTCAGGATTTTGGGAGGTTGTAAATGTATGAGGTGAGGTGAGGTGAGATTGGGTGAAACGTCGTGCTTGAGAATATTTCTCTCATGACGACGTGCATGCGTGTGTATGTGCAGGTGCTTGTACTAGCCCAGACTGAAGCTGTTTTTATAGTGCTAGCCCACTGAGATACCATGCCACAGTGAAGCATGAATAGCCCACTCAGACACATTATATTGACTCCGAGCCGACCAGTCCTTGTTTTGTACCCATTAATACCGAGCGCCAGGCAGGGACCAACAAGTACCATATTTTAACGTCTTTTGGTATGACGCGGTCGTGGATCGAACCCGCGACCTTCCGCTCTCCGGGTGGACGCTCTGACCACTAAATCACGGAGGCGGTCTGTAAATGTTTGAAAGTATGTTTATAAGTTTCATGACACAAAAGTCAACTCATTTTGACTTAATTCGGCTAATTATTAAATATCAAAATATCTCGCCCATGGACAAAATAATTTCACCCATTAGCGAGAATATTTGCTTTTGCTCAAAATACATGTTTTTTTCATGTTTTGGAGGTTGTAAATGAATGAAAGTATGTTTATAAGTACCATGGCACAAACATTCAACTCATTTTGACTTAATTCGGTTAATTTATAGCGTTAATAAAAAATCTTTCCACAATTTCTACATGGGGCCAAAGGCCGGGTTCGATTCCCCACATGGGTACAATGTGTGAAGCCTATGTCTGGTGTCCCCCGCCGTGATATTGCTGCAATATTGCTAAAGGCGGCGTAAAACCATACTCACTCACTTACATTCTCTACATAGACTCTTTAGCACAAGTCTTTGGTCCGACTTGGCCCGGACTGTCAATAGCACCTTAAACATGACGATGTATCCTTGATTTTATTCCGAGCCATTGACTAGTATTATATCCACCTAAATACCACTTTGTAACGTCATAATACATCACTTGTATAGATAACGGGTCCGTTAAAGTGAAGACCGTTGAATTCGTTCCCAACATAGCCTCAGTCAAACGTGTTTGGTCTCTCTGCTTGGGCTGGGCTTTCATAAACAACTTAAACCTCACAGATGTATCCTGAATGGTGTTTATATCTGTAGAATAAATTATATATGTAACTAAATATCAATTTAAAGAGTTTCAAAGTGAAGTATTGTAAGCAACCACGTTGCTCAAAGTGAAGCTCTCTTTTAACATTCCCAGCATAGCCTCTATATCACAGGTGTTCGGTCCCTCTTGGCCTCTTTCAAAATTAGCTTGTGTTTGTATCTATATGATTAGTATCTACAGTGTTATATCTACCTACATACCACCCTTCAGAGTCTCAAAGCGTAACGTATTAAGTCCATTTATATGGCGCCAAACATGTTCATAGCGCATACAAGTAAACCTCTGTGTTCAGTCTGACTTGGCCCGGCTATTTCAATTAATAGCCAGTTAATTAAACCAGTAGCTGCAACGCTTCAATCAGCACACACCCATCCGACCATCTGCCATTAATGCTTCCATCCCATTACGACTACGTCCCAGTATGACTACATCCCGTGGGGTGACGTGGCAAGATGGCCGACACAGGTGTGTTTTGATTCTGACCTTCAATGTTTTATTTACAACTTCTTCTATGTGGCCTAATCTGCCTGTAATGGCTTTCAAATGGTCAGTTATGCTTAATTATAGCTAAAATACATAATTCTGCCTGTAGAAATTTGCTCTCAAATGGTCAGTTATGCTTAACGACGGGCCAATCGTTCTTGTCAACACGTCATAAAACTGCGTCGGTTTATTCGACATTGAACTGGCAGAAATTCTGCAAACAAGTCAAAGCAAACTATTCCCGCTTTTAAAGCTTAATATTGGCACAGGCTGGTGCTAACCTTAACAATTGCACTCATTGATGGACCAAACCGAACACTGACATGGTTTGGCATGTTGTAGGCGATGGTCAAAAGGTCGAATATCAGCAGACGTCACTGTATTGCATTCGGGCAACAACCCCGTACCATTGGTTTTGAGTAAACTTACCAGGTTCCTTCATTGGTTTTTTTCTTTTAAACACAAATTCCATGTTTTTAGCACCGGTAATGCTATTTTCTGTCGTCTTTTTCTGCAAATATAATGCCCTCATAAATAGCATTACCACTTATAACAATCGTCAAACCCAAACCGATCGTGATCGAAAGAAGAACAGCACACTCGTCGGACTAGCCTCAACACAGGGCATCACGCCATCGACACAGTGTTTACCCCTCAGATACCCTTACCCACGAGTCACAGATACCCTTACCCACGCAGATACCCTTACAGAGTACAGATACCTACCCACGAGTCCCAGATACCCTTACCCACGAGTCACAGATACCCTTACCCACGAGTCACAGATACCCTTACCCACGAGTCACAGATACCCTTACCCACGAGTCACAGATACCCTTACCCACGAGTCACAGATACCCTTACCCACGAGTCACAGATACCCTTACCCACGAGTCACAGATACCCTTACCCACGAGTCACAGATACCCTTACCCACGAGTCACAGATACCCTTACCCACGAGTCCCACAGATACCCTTACCCACGAGTCCCAGATACCCTTACCCACGAGTCACAGATACCCTTACCCACGAGTCCCAGATACCCTTACCCACGAGTCACAGATACCCTTACCCACAGTCCCAGATACCCTTACCCAAAGTCACAGATACCCTTACCCATGGACATTCTAGGCAAAAATGAAATTCGCTTTCTACAGTAGGAATAATACACAATGGACACAAGCGTTCATTTCGCTTTAGACCAAGGCGTCTACCATATTCAATCATTAACATATGACTGAGCTTCTAATTCTACTTAAGGCAATACGAAATACTTTGCATTGAACGTGATTAATGTAGAACTCTAAGCAAACTTTGTTTTGATATTACTCAGAAAATCAAGTTTAGAAAAACACAGCATATCACCTTTCCATGATTGGTTATGAACGTCAATACATCTTTGTTTGAACAGAGATATGAAAGTAGTGACATTCCCAACATTCTGGTAAAACCAGGCATATCCAAAACCATATTGATTTAGAAGTCTTTTTACACTTAGTGCCCAACATGGGCGTCCTTTCTCTGCAGTTCGATATTGATATTCATACACTTTCTTTAAAATAACATTATCAGCTTGAGATACCAGTCTTATCCAATATTTAATAATTTTACAATAAATATTAACTTTAAGGGAGTGTCTACCAAGCTCGGCATGAGCGAATATATTCGGGGTGCTTCTTGGAAGATTGAGAACTTGTTTGCAAAATTTGTCATGGATATTAATAACATTAGGTGCTGTGTGAAATCCCCATACTTCGCTGCCATACAGTAAGATTGGGAGAATTTTAACATCAAATATTTTGAACAAAACATGAATGGGGAGATTTGAGAAATTAGGTATTGATGATCTGAGTATACCAAGAACTTTCCATGCTTGTTCTGCGAGGGTTTTTTGAGTTATATACCACGAGCCTGAGCTGGATAAATGAACCCCTAAGTACTTATAGGATGAGACAGTATCAATAACATTATTTTTTAGATAAAATCGTTCGCATTTCTTAAGTCTGCCACCCTTTCTAAACACAATAATTTTACTCTTTGCTACATTGATTTTAGTTTCCAACGGTCACAATAACCAACTAATTTGTCTAATCTCTTTTGGAGACCACCAACAGAAAAGTCAAAGATTACAATGTCGTCAGCAAATAGTAATATAAACAGTTCAATTAGTTCCAGATTCACACCCCTCTGGTTATCTAATGCTAGGCTCTCTACAATATCATTTACGAAAAATGAGAACAAGAAAGGGGATAGTTGGCAACCCTGGCGGACGCCATTTTGGCACTCAAAAAATGCTGTATATCCTTCATTTATAGAGACACATGATCTTACAGGATTTGTACATGTTTTCAATAATCTGAATAATTTCCCTTTAACATTTCCCAACCACAGTTTATAGAAGAGACTGTTCCTGTCAACCGAATCAAACGCAGCTTTCAAATCAATAAAAGCACAGTATAATCTTCCTTTATACAGAGAGAGTATCTTTGAACGATCGAATTCAATATAAATATATTATCATGGGTTTGGAATCCATGTCTAAAGCCTGCCTGTTCTGGGGCAAGGAAACTTTCCTGCTCAGCCCAGAGAGTTAGTCTAGTACTTATAATTTTGAAAATATTTTGCCAGATACTTCAAGTAAGGTTATAGGCCGGTAGTTGGCTGGATCATTGACATTACCCTTCTTGAAAATAGGAATAATTACTCCTACTGTCCACTCAGTCGGATAGATACCCGTAGATAGGACACCGTTAAATAAAGATTTCAACATGTCTATGCATTCTCTTGGGGCGCTTTTGAAGAATTCAATAGCAATACCACTTATACCTGGGGATTTGCCACATTGCATACTGTTTATGGCATCTACAATTTCCTGATAACTTATTTCGTTGTCTAGATCATCATAATTTGCAGATTGTTCAATAAATTCTTCACTGATAGACAAAACAAATTGATTCACCTCATTATAGAATTCCTCATACTCCACTGAGAAATGCAGACCTTGGAAGAGATCATGAAAGTGTAAGTTCCAGTCTATAGGTTTTATCTTATTTTTTGTAAATTGTGATTTAGGTTTGACAGTTTTCCAAAACAATTTATTATCTTTAGTACATAGTGCACTGCGTCCACAGAGCTTGACCCTTACCCACGAGTCACAGATACCCTTACCCACGAGTCACAGATACCCTTACCCACGAGTCACAGATACCCTTACCCACATTCACATTTAAAGGCTCCACTTTTTACTAGTAGAATATGTGTACTTTTAATGTATGGATAGATTTGTCTAAATTGCTAACATCTGAAGAGATGATGTCAATCCAGCTAGGGCCCATGCAGGAAGCAAATGTACTGTAAATCCCCATGGTCCCTAGTATGGCGATCTACCTTTAGTTGTTGGCAATCTATAGCCTGTTTATATATTTTATTGTCGTGTATAGTTAGAATGTTTTAGATTTAATTACTATTTCTAAATTTCAATCTGTGATAATGTAGTTGTTTTACTGTCTTTCGTTAACGGGGTTTTGTGATCTGGACATTGGTGTTGTTTACTTTCCGTCGTAAATGAATTTAGTTAATTAACGACAATGTCTTTTTAACAATTTGTAAGAGAATTAAGGTTGTAAACGGACTATTTTTTTACAAGTGCGTCGAGCTGCAGCTCTCCCTTTAGTCCCACTGGAGAAAGCTGAACATGTCTGGCTTGATGCCATTGCACACGCACCACTAGGTGAGCAGGCGACACAGCTGATGGATTACGGTACTACCACCTGGGTAGAAGGTCCCTGGACTCTGCCAATTTGGAAACAGTTTGAAAATGATGGACACAGGACTAACAATAATTTGGAAGGTTGGCACAACAAATTCAACAAGTATGCCATGAAGACACATCCGAATGTGTTTGATGGTGTGCGAGTGCTACACAAAGAACAGTCAGCTACTGAAGTTAAAATTCAGCAGATCCAAGGACAGCAGGGAGATCCCGTCCGTATATGTAGACGTCGCTATCGATTCATCAACGCTAGGATTCGATCCTTGGAGGCCGACCATCTTGCCGACAGACTTATTGACTTGCATTACACAGACCATGTGTCAGAGTTGCTTCATCTTAGCGGAACATTCAGATTACTGAAATTGAATTGCCAACCTTGTCATTATACACCCGGAGAACCGTTGAACGGCGAAAGATTTTGTGCTTATATAAAGGAGTTTTGACAAGAAGAAATATATGGACTCATATTTTATATTGTAAGAAAACTGGGTAAAATTGTAGTGTAAGCAGGGGGCAGGGGTTCATAAGGGGATATTCGAATAATACGTACCACATTTAGCGTGACTTGCTCTACTACGGGACAACTTTTTGACCGGGGTTACTGTTCATCGTAGCGCTGTACGTAAGTCCCAAAACTTTCAAAGTCAATTTAAACTAACCAGGATTTTAAAACGTAGTATTCTTGTTATTTTAATTTGGGCTAACATTTTGTACAATCGCCAACGGCTGAAGGGATGTTGTAAATCCAACTAGGGTCCATGCAGGTAGCAAAGGTACTGTAAGTCCCCATGGTCCCTAGTATGGTGAACTACCTTCAGTTGTTGGTGATCTATAGCCTATTTTTATAATGTGTTGTCCTCTATAGTTAAAATGTTTTAGATTTAATTACTAGTTTTACATATATATCTGTGATATTCTAGTTGGTTTACTGTCCTTCGTTGACAGGATTTTATACTCTATCTTTAATTATTGTTTATATATATGATGTTTTAGTCACGATATGGCTGAAATATTGCCCAAAGTGACTTTAAATTTTAACTCACTCACTCATCGTAGCGCTAGATACATTGGGTAGGCCACGTGGCTGGTGCTAAATATGTTGGGTAGGCTCTGATTGGCGGAGACGTCCGTCATCAGTAGATGAACTTTGACCCATGTCAGAGGTCGTTCTGGAGCTTATATAAGTGACCTGGTTCTCTGGATTCAGTGTCTAGCTTTCGGTCATCCGAGCAACATCAGGTAATATCTCCTTCCCAAGTTCCTGTTTCAGGATTTGGGCTAAGACGGGTACTCGGGTACTCGAATCCGGGTCGGGTACAGCTGGAATCGGGTCCTATTTCTTGGAATCGAGTACACGGAAAGGGAGATAACTCTATAATGACAAGGGCAGATACTATCTTTTTCATAATTGACATAACACACATTTACATCATTGATATTGTCCGATTAATGAAGGTTATCATTAACGACTGTAATTTATCTGCGCATGTGCAGTGAGTAGTGAAACTTACAGTAATAGCGGGAACGAAAAGTTCTGTGTTTCAACGAGGAATGTAAGTAATGGTCATAGACGGATCCAGAGAGGGGTGCATGGGTGCATGGGTGTATGGGAAGGCAACAAAACAATCCAGTGGCGTTGACACAAATTCACAGGGTACAATAGCACCAATCAGTGAGACAATAGCATGGCTTGAACGGGATATCAAGCTGATTTCTGAAATTGAACTCCCAAAACGTGATACGGCAGCAGTCGAGGCAGTGAAGTCAAACAGTAATTTTAGCGTCTTCTGGTCATTGGTTCTATTAAGTCAAAGGTTACGTTGATGAATCAGAGTCTCACCTCTATTAAAGATGACGTCAAGCCCATGGATGACCAGAGCAAATCATGTTTGTCGTCTCTCGGAGACCTAAAGAAGAAGGTGACCATATTGAAAAATAACAGATTCAAAGAAGAACAAACATAACTCCTACGCCGGGGCAGCAAACTAGAGCAAGCCTGACAATGATTCCAATGCCAGTCAACAACCAAGCACATATCCAAAAGAGGCTCAAAGAGCATCTGGTAGCATTGAACATACTGTACAGGAGATTCAAACACAAAACGAATCCACCTCTATTGACGTCACTCCAGCTACTCAAAGCAACAAACCATTGATGGAAGGAACTTTTGAAGGTATCGTCCAAGGTTCAAGTGCCATACCAGCTAACGCAACTCAGAAAATTACATCGTCTGACAATAAAAATGAGTCAAAGAAGGATTGAAGTCCACATCAATAAACAGACGAAGACCTTTGTCCAACCTGATGCTGATGAGGTTTGTGCAGGTCCTATTTGCCAACAAACCAGACGCTACTTCATTGGCAGAATCCAGAAGTCCTGCTCTGAACAATCGATCAAAACTTATATAGAAAGGAGAGTTACTGTGACGCACCTTAAAGTCTTCATCAAACCAGAGAAACGCTTGGCTGCTGCACATATAAATGTACTCGCTCAAGGAAGGCTACTTGTTAAAAACGTTGATATCTGTCCAGAAAACAATATTGTCAAGCCGTGGCTGGACAGGAGAAAGTTTTGCAACAAATAGAGGAAAGACAAAGAATGAACGATGTTCCCTCTTAGATATGTCGCTCCCAATCATTTCACTTATGCCATGGAACTGTCGTGGTGTAATGTCAAGTGTATGTTACCCTCAACGCTACACTCTCTCAAAACCGTATCCAGATATGTGCCTTGTCTGATCACCAACTTGGTGCCCACAATCTGTCATTCTTGGATTCCTTGAAAACTACTTCTCAGTCGCCAACCCAGCTCAACAATCCCGGAGCCAGAGGTCTCAGAGAAATGGGGGACCAGCCTTCCTATGTCACAAACATCTCAAGCCATATGTCCAGACTCTAGATAGAATCACTGCCGTAGAACTCTCTGTTCCTGTGACTAGTTTCCATGACTACACAAAATCCAAGGTCAAATTTCAAGCTGCTATGAAAGAAGCTGCAGCGCTTCATGAAACAGAGCACTTTACCAATCTTGATAAACTATATGACATCGACCAGAAAACATTCTGGACTCTCCTCAACAATAGAGACACGAAATCACACATTTCAACCATAAATGCATCAGGGAACCATACAAGAGATTCCTTGGAAATCTGCCAAGCACTCACCCATAACCATGAAGACTATATTCAGCAAAGGGGTGGATGACAACTTTGACCAGCAGTTGAAGGACTATCTGGAAGGCAGAGTTGCTGAACTAAAACATTGTACCTCAAACAATGTAATCGACGTCAAGTGCCTTCTGACCTCTCAGTGTGAGGTAAGCAATCTTTGCAAATCTCTGAAAACAACAAGACTCTACAGACCTCCCTGATCCTCAGCAATGCGGCTTCCAGAAAGGCCTCTCGTCTCTTCATGGAGTTAGACAAGGTAGCGTCCTTTCTGCCAAGCTCTACTTGGTCTATATCAACGAACTTGACAAACCTATCACATCTTAAGAAGGGAGCATTCGTACTGGATCTCTACCTCGCCGCTCCAACTCAGGCAGATGATATCTCACTGATCAGTCCTATCACAGCTCATCTACAGTCCATGGTAACAGAGTATCAGAACTACAGTGCCTAATGGCAGTTCACATCAACACAAAAGACAGAAAAGCGAGGAAAAAGGCAGAGCATTATTTCCGCCATCATCCAACTGTCCATAACTTAAATATATATTTAAAATACTCAATGCAAAGGCGCGTCGCACCTTCAAACAAAACAAACGACAATCTTGGAGAAATTATGTCTCCAAAATAGATTCACTCACGCCTGTGTCTAAGGTGTGGAGAATGGTTCAGAGAATAAACGGTAAAGGTTCAAAATCGGCTGGTAATTTAATAACTGACAAATCTAAACTTGCAAATAACATTGGCAAAACTCTTGCCAAAAATTCATCATCGGCAAATTATGTCCCTGAGTTTAAGAGATATCAGAAACAACAGGAAAAGACAGAACTTAATTTCGAATCAAATAACGGTGAAGATTATAATGAAGTGTTTTCATTACATGAGCTACATACTGCTCTTGAGCAAGCTCATGACACTGCAGCGGGTGATGACAATATACATTACCAGCTACTGAAACACTTACCTGAACCATGTCTGATGACACTTTTAGATACATTTGACCAAGTATGGACGTTTGGAGAATTTCCTCTTCATGGCGTAATGCCATTTTAATCCCAATACCAAAACCTGGCAGGGATCATACAGATCCATCGAATTACAGACCTATATCTCTAACCAGCTGTGTCAGTAAAACCATGGAAAGAATGGTGAATAATAGATTAATTGGTATCTTGAAACCAATTACCTTATAGCAAATATCCAATGTGGTTTAAGGAAAAAATCGTAGTACCATTGATCATTGGTACATTTAGAATCCTTGGTTAAAAATGCAATAGTAACTAAACAACATGCAGTATCAAAATTCTGTGATGTCGAGAAAGCTTATGATACGACCTGGAAGCATGGGATTTTGAAGGATTTACATTACTTTGGTTTGAGGGGTCGTTTACTTCTTTTTATATCACAGTTTTAACGAAACAGGCAATTTCAAGTCCGAGTGGGTTCAACCCTGTCTGACCATTACAATCAGGATCAGGGTGTCCCACAAAGCAGTATTTTGTCAGTCACTTTATTTAGTATCAAGTTCAACAGTTTATCCAAGGTTTTAAACGATTCAACCGATGGATCATTATTTGTGGATGATTTTAATATTTCTTGTCGTGGTAAAAATATGCATACTATTGAACGGCAATTGCAGTTGTGTTCTTGGCGTCTTGAAAACGGCTTTAAATTTTCAAAATCCAAAACTAATTGTCTACACTTTTGTAGAAAATATAAGCCGTATAAATACCCAGAACTATCTTTAAATGGCTCTCCCATCAAAGTTGTTAAGGAGGCCAAGCTCTTGGGTCTAATTTTCGACTCTCATTTAACTCTTTAGACGCATATTAAATCCCTTAAGGACAAATGCCTGAAGGCCCTCGATTTGTTGAAAGTTGATTCCAACTCAGAGTGGGGAGGGGATCAAGCTACCCTCCTCCACTTATATCGATCATTAGTCCGCTCGAAACCTGATTATGGCTCCATCGTGTGTGGTGGAGCCTGCAAAAGCAGCCTAAAACTACTTGATTCTGTCCACCACCAAGGCCTAAGACTTTGTCTTGGGTCTTTTAGAAATTCTCCTGTTGACAGTCTCTATGGTGAGGCTGATGAACCATCCCTTAACCAACGGCGTATAAAATTAACCTTACAGTATATAACGAAAAAATACATTCTAACGAATCTAATCCTACTTTTAACTCTATTTTCAATCTTCTTTATGAGGATCTGTATAACAAAAAAGTCTTTTCTTGTTCTACCTCTGGGATTAATATTCAACCCTCTCAATGCTGCTGGCATTGAGCTGGAAAATATCTCTCCTTCCCGTCGTCTTTCTTCTCCTCCTTGGCAATTAGTGAGGCCACATGTTGACCTAACACTGACAACGTTTAAAAAATCCGAAACTGATGAATTACAATAAAAACAAGAATATTTATCTACTAAAGAGTAAATCAATCAAATCCCGATGAGTCGAATGCCGGTGTCTCGAATATTATGCATAACTCGAAGTACCTGTCGGTCCCGACCATTCCCTGTTATTGTTGTCATCATTTGATTTCCGGTTACACGAATTCGTCTCATAAATACACACGATGACTCGAAATGGAAATTTGATCCCTTGAGATTCAAACAACAGTAATCTTGTATACATAAGCCGAAGTCAGTCAATGAGAAGTTAATTGGTGTTGCTAACTGATCCAATTAACAAACCAGTGCGGCTCGCACCTTTCCGCTATTGTCGGGTGAGTTCAAAAGGCAGATTAGTGATTTTACGGAATACGGAAGAATTAATAATACATATAAATCCTTATTTACAGATGGGTCCAAGGATGGTGGCACGGTTGCTTGTGCCACTGTCATAGGATCCAGAACAATATCTTCTATTTGACAAAATTCCAGTTCTTTTTTTACAGCCGAAGCTAACGCCATAATAACAGCTCTTAAATATATAAATAAACATTCTAAATATCAACAATATATCATATTTTCTGACTCTCTTTCTTGCCTTCAGGCTACTAAAAATCTCTCTTGTAAACATCCACTTTTAATAGAAATTAGAGAATTGTATAATGATCTTGCTACTGGCCAATGTGACATCGTCTTTTTTGGTTACCAAGCCATGTTGGCATTACTGGGAACACAATGGCTGACCTTGTTGCTAAGGCAGCACTCATGAAATCTGTGACACCATCTCTGATTACAAAGCTTCTATTAGATGTTATATCCGTGATCTGATGCAGAAGAAGTGGGCCACCCAAGTAGGTATTAATAAATTACATGAAATTAAACCCTATATCGGTTACTCCTACTTGGGTTGTCAGTCCAGATTTGAAGAGGTCATTATACGACGATGTCGTATTGGCCATACTAGATATACTCATGAGCACCTGTTAAAAGGTGAGGATCCTCCGGTTTGCATCCCTTGTGATGAGAGAATCACGGCCAAGCATATCCTGCTTGACTGTATAGATTTTTAAAATCACAAGGGATAAATATTTCAATGTCAAAACAGTGACGGATCTTTTTAATGTTAACTATCATTTAGTCATTGAATTTTTAAAAGAACTAGAATTACTAGATAAATTTTGATACGTGGTTTGTAAATAGATCAATATTTTATTAGTAGTAGTTTAGATCAGTAACTGAGATTGTTAGTGGCCCTACCGTCAAAGGGGGTGGACGTATTGTAAAATTATTGTCCTCCTGAGAGGGTACGTAAGTCCCAAAATATTCAAAGTTAAATATAAGGTTACCAAATTTTAAAACGTAGTATTTTTGTTCTTTTAAAATTCGGCTAACATTTCCTACAGTCACCAGCGGCTGAGGGGATGTGGTAAATCCAACTAGGGTCCATGCAGCAATGTCACTGTAAGTCCCCATGGTCCCTAGTATGTGGATCTACCTTCAGTTGTTGGCGATCTATAGCCCGAGTTTTATATTGTATTGTCTTCTAGTATTAAAATGTTTTAGTTTTGGTTACTAATTTTTAATTTCTACCTGTGATAATGTAGTTGTTTTACTGTCCTTCGTTGACAGCTTTTTACCAGCCTCAGTCTCTCTGGTGACGTTGGGCCCACAGCAGATGTTGACGTTGATGAAACGGCGTCAATATTGGCCCACGATATGGACGTCGAGAATGGAGACTGGCAGCCCGCAACCGATTTTGAATGGTCTGTGAGGACACTCGACCTCTAAACATCTCAGCCACGTAGGTGACGTAGGACGATTTGACAGTCTTCTGCTCGTGACGTCACACGTGGAAGACCCGACCTTGGGCGATCAGAAGTGGTGCCAGTTTGTTGTAGACGACCTCGCAAGTCATACACAGTACGGCGGCTGCATCCCATTGCTCTTGCGACGTCAATAACTGATCTTCCCGCTTGCAACATGCCAACGGCATGTTCACGTTGCACATTTGACAATCGTGGCATTTCAAGTACCGTTAGAACTGTGGTTTAAAAGTGTTTTTTCAATTCTTGAGGCCAATGCAAACACGTACATATGAAGAAAACTTCGATGCGAAGATCACGTGATCGACTGCACGTGCAAAACCTGATTTGGCACTAACGTCATTTGCACGACGAATGGATGGGTTTGAGTGGGTTTTGCTAACGTTTTTCTAGAGTCGAAAGATAGGGATCCCATTTCGGATACATAGATGTATCATCAGAGAAAAATTATTCATTATTTTTCAAATTACATTTTGTGAAGTTTCTTTTTTGACTCAGTATATAAATCTATAACTTGATTTAGTCACGAAATGGCTTAAATATTGCTAAAGTGACTTTAAATTTTACCTCACTCACTCACTAACCCAGGACATTACACCCCTCGATAGAGCCACACCCAGCTTGGCTACTTGCCAAAAGATACCCCTTCTTCAAACAACAATGCCGCTTCATAGTGCAAATGTGTGCTCTCTGGCGACCTTGCCGTGTGTATGGACCTTGTGATAAATGTAGAACGAACTGTGCAGACCCCCTGATCCATGTCCTAACATCATGTGAAGCCTGTGCTTGCTGCAGAGGCCAACTCTGGTGAGACTTTATCAATGTGGGCCCAGTGGAGCTGAGCGTGGAACTACACAAGACTGATATGGACCTGGTGGGCAGCCTACTTTCCTGCCGTCCCCCAGTACTGCTCTCTGACGAGGAGACTGAGCTGTACACACTGACTGTTGTTAACGGACTCTACGCGACCTGTAATGCATGGAAACTTTACGCGTCTCTCTTCTAAACTTAACAATATGTTAAACTTATCTCGCACTCTCATGTACTCTCCAAGGGATGAATAAACATGTATACATCTCCATCACTTCCCAAACCAACAGAGCGTAAGGTTCACGACGTTCGCGAGGCAGATTGTGCAGTGTACTCGACCCAATTATAAACTCTGAGCATCGCATATTAGACACATCTGAGCGGAGCTGTCTCAGGTAAAACAACAGGAATGAGGAGTCTATCTTGAGACTGGAAAATACAGGTATGTGGCAGTATATGCTTAGTTTTGTCAATGCTTGATGGATACATTTAATCTATGTCAAATATAAATATGTCAAATGAATGTTCATAATATCCTCAGAAGATGAGTTGCAGTATTGTATTACACATGATACTTCAATGTAACCGTTAAAATAGCAAACTGTGTCTTTTGTGTTCGTTCATTCGTTCTTGATAGACATTGACGACAAAAGAAGACTTAGCTATATCTATCTCCCCACATGAGAATCTTGGGAAAGTCATATTAACAACGCCATACTATTGTATCGAATGCTCACTGTGATCCCACTGTTATGGGCACAGCTTATTTCACTTCCTCGTTGCAGCCATCACTTATGCCTCGGTGGGTTAGAATATTCCCTCGGCTATGTGTGACTAACAAACAACATATTGAATTGTGCAATAGTAACAGCCTGGATCCCAGGGTGTGCTGCTCTTCTGCTTCACTGCATCCGACAGGGACTACACAATCGTGAACTCAAGGCCATATATTTATTGTAGAACAGTCCAAGAACACGGGTGGTGAGATCATTCTCAGCACTTTCAGCGATATAGCAAAGAATAACTCTTTACTTTTAGAGAAGAAAAACGTTACTAATACGAAATATGAACTCACATATTGGTGTTGAAAATGGGGTCATTGTTTCCATTTTCAAAAATTTCAGGTGCACAATAGACTGATCCAGTCCCGGCCGATAAGCCCCGCCCACTTCGTTTTTGACGTTAGGGGGGACAACCACTGGCAAATCACAATGGCGTCACCGCCGGCGAAACGTTACGTGATTGCGAACGTTGTTGATGAATTCTGCTTGTGATACTTTGGTATCCGTCGTTTGTGAATGTTATTTAAAGAGGCAAGTTATACGTATGTGATTTTTAATATATTTTAGCTGGCAGATTACAACTTGAGAGTGAAAATGAGTTACATGCCCGATGAAAAAGCGTCTCGACTAGCTGCTGAGACTGTAGGAAGCGTAATTTCTTTCGAATCAATTAATCTATCTGGCAATTCACCTCCGTCACAGATATTAGCAGGGGATGGATAACTGAATTTTGTTGTTTGGGTTTATAATTTTTTTAAACTCGTGAACACAACCACATGTTTATGTTGCAGATCGTTTCGGTATCTATAAATAGATTATCAACACTGCGCGTGGCGCCTTTACTTATCCGTTGGCGTTGTTCAAATTTAGTTCAATAATCTGAAAACATGGGTTTCTATCTTTTAATGAATTAAGAGAATGGTAAATAAAAAGCAGAAAATATTTCCCGTCTACTACTTCATGCACCTTACTTGTCTGTACAATTAATGTAAACAAATCAATCACAGCATAACCTATTTGATCTTATTTGGAAATCTGGAAAAGGTCATTGGGCTTGTAAACGATATGTTTCCATGGACGTATCTGGACATACCCAGAAGCAAATATTCAACAGCTGATCTGCAGCAACTCTCAGTAAAGTTTCTCTCTTCAAAATCTGTACGCCATGATAAAATGACACTGAATAAAGGAAATCATTTTTTTAATCATCATTTCCATTAAATTTTTCTATATGTACTTTGTTGTGGAATCCTAATTTACATACAAACTTCCACAATACTGGACTTCATGAACTGCCAGCGTTTATGTACAGGTATGTCACAGCACCAGAACACAAAGAAGATCCAAGATACAGTCTGCACCTGTACACTAGCTGACCCATCTTCCAGAAATAGGAAACATGTGATGCAAAATTTTGGAACAGAGAATCCACAGTTATCCGAACAATTAAATAGCATTGAAATAGAATGTTACACAAAATACAAATGTAGATCTATTGTTTTTTATCAGAGATGTTTAACTGCTAACTACTAGTGTAAATAAGGTGCAAAGAATATATCCTATGCTCAAAGCCTTCTGTCAATACAATTACATATTGACATTATTGCTTCTTAATTAAACAATGATAATCTTTGTTTTATTAGATCTGAGACCATATCCCTAGAGGACATAACACTGATTTTGATCTATTTCCTTTTCTGAGATACTTACTGGTGTCATAAAAATTATAGTAAAGTTCATTCAAAATTTGGTAAAAGTCATAACAAAGGTTTAGGAAAACAGACATGAAAATGTCCTGAAGCGTTCACCTCCTACAAACCCGTGTGCAATTTAATATGAAGCTCATTTTGCAAATAACCATCAACAAACCTTGAACAATTTGTCCAAATCCACCATCTTATTAAACACTAGCTTTGGCTCAGTCTTCAAATATAAGTAACCTCCTAAAAAACTTATGATTGATCAGAAGAATTACATCAAATACGGGTTAAATATATGTTTCAATCTTTATTCCGTTACATGAAAAGTCACCTGAGATTTTGGTAAGTTATTCTGTTCCAGGACTGGATAATGCCTGACCAGGGTTTGACCAAATCGTAGCCTTTGCTTTTTCAAATGTTCTGCATGTTGAAATAACTTTAATGAGTTATGATACTAGCAATCACTTTCAGAATTATCTTATTAGTAAATGTAGTATTTAAAAAAACATCTAAAAGCAGGAGCCAAGAAACTGTGTTAATACCAAGTGATTGTCCTGCCATGATATGTATGGTGTTTGTTTACCTAGTTCTGCCTTAAAATCTAAAAAATCTGATATGTCAATCAATTAAATAATTATTTATTATTGATTAGATTATTATTAATTTTATTACCTTTCCACGTTTACTAAAAAAACCAAGATTCTTAAAACATACCTTGCTATCATTTCCAGTGAATTAATCAAAATTACAGTTGTAATATTACTCCTAAAATGTACCATTATATGTGAATAATTTATGTGGTAACAAAATTTCAAATAATGTTCTCATAATTAAGATATACACTTTATTTCACTCCGTCCAATACTCCAGAAAGTCACTATTTTTCTCACATAGTTTTCGTATTCGATCAACATGGAGGAAGGTTATTCAGTTCAAAGTCCCATGCAACTCTTCATAAAAAATCTGAAATATTTAAAGCATGGTTTTATAGGCACTCATATGAACTAATTTTGTTACTTGGATATTGCATGATAGGCAACTGCTGACGCTGACAATATTTCCGTTTGAATAAAAAATATTACTCCTCGAACATTTTGCTCTGTTAACAAGATACTGTAGGCCTTCAGAATGTGCTTATGAAACTTATAACATCCTATAATGTGTGACAAATTGAAGAATATCTAAGAGCGAAGGGGACAATATCCGCCACATTGTTCTTTCATGTAACAAGTTTTGCTATTTCGGTTGACCCTAACCGGGTAATCTATCTTACTTACTCCCCTTATCCACTACAACATTGCTCTTTACTTTCTCCCTTATCCACTACAACATTGACAGGCTTTCTCGCCTGTCTCATTTGAGCTTTATGGCGTACCAACTCAATGCCTAGTAGTGACTAAAAACGTTAAGCAAAAACAATTTTGTAGTAACAAGAATTGTCCGTGTTTATAACACTTGCAAAGTCTTAAACTGCTATTTGTTGTCATCAATTGGTAATGATTTTGCACATGTGCAAAAGTGTGGAAATTCGTCCAAATTCTCATCAGCAGGCAGACGTAGGTTTCCTGAACGATGGTGCAGACATTTAACTGATCGTTAGGCCTATCGCGTTTCTTGATCCGCCTCCATTTTTGTTGTCTTGACCGTAATGGTTTTGTTAAGGTACACATCAAATCGCAGCAATATGTAATAAACATAGCGAGTGTAAATGGCATAATTCGAAGCACATCGCTTCGGATGCATCGTTTGACCCCGGAAATAAGTCTGACAAATCCACACAGCGCCCGGCCTGCTGATTGGCCAAAATTGACGCATGCGCCAGTTTTGTTTGACAGACTGGATCGGTCTATTGACTAGACTTAGCATATGTTTCATACGGGAACCACCGGTGGAGCAGGACACGCTCACCTTTTCGCAAACACCTGGTATCATCAGAAGATTAATAAACACATGTACTGTCATCGTATCGCATGGTGACAATCACTGTATTGTCTGGTCCAGACACGATTTGATTACAAACAACATCATACAGCTGTAATGCTGCTGAGGCAAATATCTGCTCACCATATAGTCACAATTGTACAATCGACTCTGCCTTTAACAGAGATTTCTTATGAATATGGAAAGAGTTTTATCGCTTCTATTCCCATGTAACGACGACTTTCGTGTCTCCAAGCTACTTAAATAACCTTTTCAATATCTACGGTTAATGAGGCATATTTACTAAACACATTTATGTTGACAGGAATGATGTCAGTCACGATCTACAGTTTGGTTTGGATTGTTATTCCGAATCTGATGACATCACTGGGTCACCCACAACATTCCGATATTGAGAAATGCAACATTCACCACGAAGCCAATGAAACAACAGTGGACTGTTCACGTCGTGGTTTCAACCGAGTTCCACAAGGATTTCCACGAAACACAACAGTCCTTAACCTGAGTACCAACAACTTACCAAGCCTCAAGAAAGAATCACTCCCCAACCTTCCTTCATTACATACACTGCTCGTGAATGATAACAACATAGAGTTTCTGGAGGAAGGTGCTCTGCAAAGCCTACCTGCCCTTCAAGAACTAAACTTGGATGGGAATAAATTGAACTTTTCTTATTTCTCTCTTCCTCTTGGGACATTCCAAAACCTGACATCTCTGACAACACTCCATGTGAGCAGAATGAGGATGCGGTTTACTTCATTGACATATCCTGATGCTACATTTGCTGATCTTCACCACCTCGAGTCACTGGTTATTGACGGGGCTGGAGAACCGGTGTTTGGACCTGGCTTTGCACAGATGAGGAGGCTGAAGAGTCTCAGTTTTGGATCACAATGCCTTATCAGACGTTTGGGGAAAAACTCATTTGTCAACTTCAGGGAAGCACCTGTCAGGGATCTGTCATTGTCAGCATGTAGCATTCTTATTTTTCTGGACGCCAATGTCTTCTTTCCTCTTCATAAACTGAAGTTCCTGTTTGCAAGAGAAACTGCTCCCTTTGGCCTGTATGAGTCTTTCCTAAGCTTACAAGGACTCAGTGGAAGGAACATGACCGAAATAGACTTTTCACTTGTGCGTACATATCCTGTCTCTGTTCAAGGTGTTATGAAGAACCAAAGTCTCGTGCTCACGTCTGAGATGACACGTTACCTTAAGACTATGTGTGTTGAGCGACTGATTCTAAGGAATAATTACATCGTGGTCATTGAAACTGGCGTGTTATTGCAGGAACCGTTTCAAAGTTGTATAAAATATCTTGACATCAGCTACAATTCTATAAAAGGTGACCCCAGCTTGTTGTTCCATCTCCCTGAACTTGTTAACCTAGCTGTACTGGATGTGTCAAATCAGGCATATGTACTTTATGCTGGTGATGGACAATATCAGCATTCCAAAGACATACCAAAACTAACCTTTTTTGGAAACATGACACTTTTTCTTCCTCCATCTTTGGAAAAACTTTTATTAAGTGGTTCAGGAACACATGGAAGATCATTAGAGGGAACTAACATGTGCTTTCTGGAGGTAATAACTTGTGGTATTTGGACCTTTCCTATTCTGCCATAATAACAAACACTTCACGTGTCTTTGGCTTGGAGCATGTAAAATATCTTGATTTCTCAGGGAATTTCTTTAAGAAAATACCGTTGACATTTTTTCAGTCATTCCCAATCGTCATGACATTGTATCTGAAAAATGTTCATTTTGATACTGATTTGATGTCTAACATGAGTTCACAAACATTGTTCAGTCCTCTCAAAAACGTCCACCTTTTAGATGTATCCCATAACATTCTACATAGAATGTATGCTCACATATTCGGAAATCTTAAGACCTTAAAATATTTGAACTTAAGCAATAATATGTTTGAGGACGTTCCTATTAAATTGTCTGGAATGTTGAGCATCTCTCATATTGATCTTTCATTTAATTCTATCAGTTTTCTGAGCGTCAACACCAGAACAATGTTAGATCAAAGGGTTCTTGTTTCCCAACCCATTTCACTTGACCTCCATGGGAACATCCTGTCTTGTGGATGTGGAACCCTAGACTTTCTGACATGGATAATTGACACAGATGTCCAGTTTCGACACTTCGATTCATACAGCTGTATCAACACTGAGGGTCAGCTCATTAAACTTTCAAATATTACCAGTTCCTTTAGGAGACACTGGAGATCTTGCTATGGTAGATTTTGGCTCGCCTTTTCAGTTTGTCTGATGTGTGTACTGATTTCTGGTCTTATCGTTTGTCATTTGGTGTTAAAAAACACCATCTCTTTAAAATACTGGATATTGAGGTTGATAGGGTTTGATCATTTTGTACCACGAAGACAAGATTTTAAGTATGACATATTTATTTATTATTCTCAACATGATGATTATCAGTGGGTGTGTACCACGTTTCTACAGAAGGTGGAGGTAGAGAGAGGTCTGCGACTTTGTATTCCAGACAGGGACTTCGATGTGGGCGTTTGTGCAGCTGAAGAAATTATCAATTGTATTCACAACAGCTGGAAGACTGTCCTGTATGTAACAGAGACCTTTCTTCAGGACGAGATGTGTTCCTTTACACTCTCATCTGGGGTCTATGCATGCAACAATAACATGCCCAAGAGACTAATACTTCTATATTCCGACACCATCTTGCATCACCCTCTGCCACCATTACTCACTCAGCTTCTGGATGGAGATAATGTGTTTGTTCTGGAAGAGCTGGAAGAAAATAGAGCCTGGCAACAGTTCTTCGAACTTGTTTTGAAGTGGATCTGAACATACGTCTTAGATATTGTTCCTTTTCATTCCAATATTTGTTCCTGTAATAGTGTATGCGGAACAATTCGTTCGTTCCGCACACACAGAATTTATTCCGGGTAAATAGGAATTTTCACACACATCCTAATGTGTCTTAAAGATGGTTTTGTTTGTTGGGGTGGTCTTAAAAATTGGGGCGTGTATTTTTTTTTGTTTTGTTGTTTGTTGTTGTTGTTTTTTGTTGTTGGGGTTTTTTGGGGGTGGGGATTGGGGGTTTGTTTGGTTGTTTTTGCTTGGTTTTGTTTTGTTGTTTTTGGGGAAGAAGGAAGAAAGGATTCAGTCCTACGGTCTGGAAACAATCCTGCGGCTATCAAGAAGCAATTATCATGTGTGAAAGTTCCATATAAAATGACTCAATACAGTATTGTCATCAGTGGCATCATTTGTCTTTGTTGTGGGAATTGGTTTCATCTTTTGTTATGGCTATACAAAATAGCGCTAAATAATGTCTATTTTAAATAACACACATGGTTCAATTACTTTGAAATGTAATTAATTAAATTACAATTACCTTGATTTTACTCAATTACAATTACAAATACGATTACACCTTAAATTAAAATGTAATTAATTCAATTACAATTACATTACCACTGTAATTAATTACATTACAAATTACTTTGTTAAAAAAACAAAAAAACAAATATATTTCTGTATTCCTTTAATCAACAACAGATCGATGTTGGTAAGCAGTGGTCACTAAATCCAATTCATATTTTTGTCATCAAAAAGTGAAATGCAAAATTAGATTTTATCTACAATGTACACTTTTTGATCAAATTTGTATTTTTGCATATTTCTTTGGGATTATTATCAAATAGACACCTCTATCACCTCTTGTTGCAAAAAACACTTTGTCCACCACTGTTGCCTTAGGTTTTCTGTATCATGACATCATTACAGCCCTACATTACAATATAAATCTGCCGGTCTCTCTGTCTGACATAATCCACATTAACATACTAAAGGATTTGTCAACTTGGATTTATGGCTTATTACCTTTCCTGATTATAAAAATAGGACTACAGTTCAGTAAGATTTTGAATATCATATCCAATGAGAAATAAACAAAGAGGCCATTTTGAACTTGACTAATAGTACTGTTAATCCCCATTTCCTCAAATACCAACCTACATTCAGTCACTGATTCCCTTTGTTTCACAAATGTGCAGCTGGTGATAGTTACAAAGGCTTAGACATTCAATCTCTTTCAAAACTTAACACCTGCTAGAGTATATACCGACAACAAGCATCTTATTGAAAAACACTGCTTTGTCCTCCTTATTGTACAGAATATAATTGCAAGGGTTGCCTGATGACCACCAAAATAAAAAAGTGAGATGTAATTTGATGTAATTGAAAAAGTAATTGAAAAATTCACTTACAAATTACATGCAATTACATAGATTTTTGTAATTAATTACATTCAATTACAATTACAAATTACAATTACCCCATGTCTGTTAAATAATCCAAATAAACACCATCACAATATTTGATAATATGTATTCACTTTGTGCCATTTAGGTACGACCTAATAGAAATCTAAACCTTAAATTTGTTTAACATCATATAAATCGGTGGTTGTGTAATATGGCAGCCTAACCTGCCATTAGATATGGTTCCTTTTTCTTTAAAAATATGTGCTTCTATTTCAATTTATTATTTCAAGGATGTATGTTTAATATCTACATGTCATTTGATAAGGGTCCTGATCGAAATCCTGACAATACTGAAGAATTGTTCAAATATCGTTCTATTTTAATTTGATCTACATTTTAGGTAAACTTACAGTGATCAATATGGCACATTCTGATGGTTGCTAATTTCTGGTCACTAGTTATCACAGGCTTCAATGGAGCAGAGTTATCCTTGATCTCGTCCGATACAATGAGTGCAATGAGCAGTGTTTTCCTCTTCCTCCACAATCGGTCTGTTGCATTTTCCTGCTGTGTGTGGCAAATGACCGCTCGTTAATTTGATTTTCACCCAGATTTAAAATGATTCACGTGTATTTCGGGCTAGAGAAAACCCGGATGTGGACAAGTTGGACGAGTTCATTTTGCATTCAATAATGACTGGAATAGGTTACACCTACGGTATTTGTTCCTGTTCGATGGAATATTTGCCGTATGTGCGGAATTTATATTCGTGTCATCCATTCTCTATTTCACGGCATTTATTCCGAACCGGAACATTTACTACTCGGAACTAAATCATGTTTACACTTATACCGTTGTCAAGCAAGAGTGGCAACTTCTAAAATGCCAATCAAACAGATTATTTGGCGGCTGTTGTTCTGTTTGAGTAGCAGGTTTATTACGCTTGATCAGGTGTCCGCTGAGTCATTATGATGTGATTGTAATAAATTAATGTATCAGCAATCTTGATTGTCTTGCGATTATTAACTTCGATTGGTAGTGGCTGTACCCTCAAAGGGGGTTAAAGTATTGTAAAATTATTGTCCTCCTGAGAGGGTACGTAAGTCCCAACAAATTTAGAGTGAATTTAAACTTACCACTTTTTTAATCGTAGAATATGTGTGCTTTTACTTCATGGCTAGATTTGTCTTCAATCACCAATGGCTGAAGGGATGGTGTAAATCCAGCTAGGGTCCATGCAGGTAGCAAATGCATTGTAAGTCCCCATGGCCCCTAGTATGGTGATCTACCTTCAGTTGTTGGTCATCTTTAGCCCATTTTTATTTTGTACAGTCTATAGATTGATTTAATTTCACGTTAGCCTACTAGTTTTAAACTTATATAGCTGTGATACTCTAGTATTTTTACTGTCCTTCGATGACAGGTTTTTATGCTCTAACTTTTTTGATTTTCATATTGATATAAACCAGAATGTTCTCGTCACGATATTGCTGGAATATTGCCAATGTGACGCTAAATAATAACTTACTCACTCACTTGACTGTCTTGCATTTTTGTCTAGTTATTTTCCACTAGCATTTCTGGAAGGTAGATAGCACCGTGACAATAGGCCCGGGTGAGAATATTGATCTTCAGTAACCCATGCTTGTCGTAAGAGGCGACTAACCGGATCGGATGGTCAAGCTCGCTAGACCATATCAGGGGCCATGGGGACTTACAGTACTTTTGCTACCTGCGTGGGCCCTAGCTTGATTTTAACCATCCCTTCCGTCATTGGCGAGTGTGCTTAGATTTAAATACAAATTACGATGACAATAAAACTACGATTAAAAAGCTTGGTAGATCAAAATTTACCTCCAATGTTTTGGGACTTACGTATCCTCTCAGGATATAATTTTATAATACTTTAATCTCCTTTGAGGATACAGCCGCTAACAATCTCAGTTTCTAATTTAAACCGCCAACAGTACTACTAAAAATACATCTATCTACAAAACATATGAATAAAAAGCTATCAATCATTTCTAATTCGTTTAAGGATTTTCATTTAAATGAAAATGAGTGGTATATAATCCCTGTGTAAAAATGAGACGCATCTGTCCAGGATTTAATAAAATAATATTGAACTAAATCACGAGAATGTCATTTGACATATGCATAA